GTGTGTCCAACTCCTCCTGATGACAGATCGCAGCATCCTTATCTCTTGGCTTGACCAGGACCTTGCCAACTTGATATTTGTCTAACTCCTCCTGATGACAGATCCGAATCGCAGCATCCTTCTCTCTTGGCTTGATCAGGATCTTGCCATTGAAGTACCCAGCGAAGTGGATGAGGCCGTCGCGCTGCATCCCCCTCGCACGTCGTAGGAGTTGTTTGTTGGAGGCTGTTAGGTGGTCATTGACGTAAACCGTCATTGATACACCATCATAGCCCGGAGCAGACCCTCCCCTTAAACTGAAGACATAGCGTCGGAGATCTAGTTCAGTGATTGGTTGAATCGTAAAGTCGCAATCAAGGTGGTAGTCAGAGTCATTCAAAACTGGGTCCCCACTATAATCAATTGCGTCAGCGAGTGATTTACCTACTTCCGAAAAAAAATCATTTGAACTCATCTGCTACTTGTTTGCATGTTGTAGAAATCGGAGATTGCGAGCTAGAAACAAATTTTCCAATAGGAAATGGTTCTTTTTTATTTACCCTGCCAGCCAGTTCATTGATTAATCCCCATAGTTTCTTGGGATTTTTAGATGCTTCATTAAGTTTTGATCGGTAATAATTACGTTTGGTTTGCTTTAAGTTAGTATTAACATTTGTCTTTAAATTATGGTAAAATTGTTTCAATTCGATCGCAGCATCCTTATCTCTTGGCTTGACCAGGACCTTGCCAACTTGATATTTGTCTAACTCCTCCTGATGACAGATCCGAATCGCAGCATCCTTCTCTCTTGGCTTGATCAGGATCTTGCCATTGAAGTACCCAGCGAAGTGGATGAGGCCGTCGCGCTGCATCCCCCTCGCACGTCCTAGGAGTTGTTTGTTGGAGGCTGTTAGGTGGTCATTGACGTAAACATCGCTCGGGTGTAGGATGGGTGACAAGTCGGTCGACTTCAGATTCCTCTTCTTCCTCGCAGCTGTTAACCATTGATCCTTGACAGTTCTTGAGATAAATTGCGCTATGATAGGAGGGTGCGCTTGTTTCTTGGAGTATAGTCGTAGGCGGTGAGCGATCGACACGTCCTCTCTTCTATAGGTTAGATCCAAAACAGCGGCAAGTCTCCGCAGGACATCATAGATGTGTGTAATCTCAACCTGTAGCGCCCGGACCTCATTATCTAGTGCAGCATTGACTTTTTCTAACTCATCACAGCGCACATTCAACGACTGCTGGCTTTGATCTAGGGTGTTAAATTTGCTATTTAGTTTTTCCATATCTTCTTTTAAGGAATCTAGACATGATATTACGTTACCAACTGCAGCATCCGTGTGGTTGTTCAAATCCATCTTGAAACTGCTCAGGGCCTCAACCAAGGTTCTCTTGTCGACGGCGGCAGATGAGTCGTTACTTCGCTAAGAGTTAGAAGATTCGCTCTCCATCACACAGTTTTCACACTTATATGACTTAAGCTTAGTTTTAGTATGATTTTGAGAGCCTAACGCAGTGCACGTGGGGTGGAATTCCGAACCACAGTCAGTACATTTAGCGATTAAATCACTCTGTTTGAAGTCTACACTACACTTCACACACTTTACAGGCATTTTAGTCTGTCACACGCAATTAAATTAACAAAATAGTAATAACTGAATAAACCGGCACAGTTTATAGGTTATGCAGACAGGAATAGACGTTGACTAGATATGCGGCGAGCCAACTGATAACAGGTCCGCACACATTGAACTCTGGACAGCAACTGGACAGCAACTGTTTTGATGAGAGATTACAGGTCAAACAACAAATGGTTACAGGGTACTGTACACAAGCAAATCAGTCCTGTTATGTATGAAATAGAGTTAAGCAGTGGCGGTTCCAAGGGGGGGGGCTACAGGGGCTAAAGCCCCCCCCCCCTTGGACCCTAAAGAAAATAAATTTAATCGTGCATTTCGTCCTTAAAACACGCAATGTCATACAGATATCAATGTAGTTTTTCTTAAACTTAATAAGTGATGGCAGGAGCATTATTAAGTTCCTCATAGATAAACTTTGTGGACAATATAGCACAACAAATAAAACAAAATTACGCTATGGAAAGTTGTACGCATGATCATATTTTTACAGCAGTCAGCTGTTGACATGCTAGGGCCAAGGCGGGAGCATCTAGCGCGCGAGCGAGGACTGGGAAACAGCTGATTTCCTGATGTCCCATAGTTAGTTGTCAAATTGTCTGCTAGCCACTAACATTACACAGGCATCAATCAGCAATCAGCGGTAGCACCAGTAGCCAGTAGCCTATTACCATTGACTAAGCTAGTGTTAAAGTTTCTATAGTCAATGCTATTACTGAATTCGATACTATACCATTGTGACAGATCTATGAAATGGAGAAAAACGTAAGGTTAAAAAACGTGTCTACCTACTTGCTTTTCGTGACATAACAGGTGCAATGGAAGGTTTTAGAACAACTGGGCACAGTTCTATAGTCACCCAACGGCTTTTAGGAGGATATGGCCGTAGTCTACAGTATGTTTTGAAATTCATGAATGCAATCGTCATAGTTTAATTTTTATAATGTCTATTTGCTCATGACAAACATCAGGTTAAATGGGAGTTTTTGGACAATTGGGCACGTCTCTAGGTGTTAAACATGGCTTTAGAAAGTCACCAGACGGCTTTGAAAATTCCAAATTTTCCCGGACCCCCCTGCTTTATTGTGGGGTGCTCCACACCCCCCAAATCCCCCGGTAGCCCCCCCCTTGACAAGGTCCTAGAACCGCCACTGGAGTTAAGTTCAGGCATTGTTACTAAGCGTCACATAGATCAGCTGATCGGTTTAAATAACAGTCCGCTATACAGAGATACGGGTTTTGCTGAAAATATTGTACATAGAAACGTGGCAACCCCTACATCCGCTAGCTCAGACCCAGAGTTGGCAACAAGTTGGCCGCAATACCAGAGGCATTGTACTTCTTCCCCCACCAAGGACGTAGTCAGCAAGCCGGTTGGCATAGCAACCACCCCCGCGAATGGTAGGTCACTCCCCTCTTCACCAGCGCGGCGATCTACATCACCAGCCAGGAAGTCACTCCCCCCTTCCCCCACACATCGTACTATGCCCGTATCCGCCTGCGTAAAATCAGCTGTGCAGTAGTGATAGTAGTAATAACACCTGTCAAAGTCCACCACGACGCAATCCTGAACGCGTTAGGAAACCTATAAATACATTAGACTTATGATTCTTTTACCAATTTGTATTTGTGTGTGTGTTTGCTGTTTACCATGATTCTTGATGTTAAATACTATGTTATACCCAATGATGATTATACATTTTCTGATTGTTGATTAGGTTAAGCGCCAAGAAATATCACTCTACCACCATATTAAAAGCGTATTAAAAGTCAACATTTTTTGCAGTGTTTTGTTCAAATTTAAAAGGGAGGAAATTGTAATATATCTTAAGAATATTAATATCCGTTGTAACTATGATTTCCTTGTACATCACGCCACTGTGAATCGTATGATTTTCAATAAATCTCATTGGCTACAAACATCACCTGATCCCCTCTCCACCTACATCACACCACCGTCCATGTCCGTCCGTCCCTGAACAGCCTAGTCTACATCCAAAACTCAAACCTTAACCATCTCTTTGTAGCCGTGTTTTAAACATGTAAAAATATCGTATTTATTTCAGTCCACTTCCTTAGTCCAATTCAACCCACGAACACAACAGAATCCTTAAGTCTCGAATAATGGGGAGTTCTTCTAAGAATGAATGTTACTCGGTTCTAGTGTAATTTGGAACAGGTTCATCCCAAGTTAGCCCTGTTGTCCAGAGATACTGAATAAGTGTTTTTGCCCAAAAATTACGGGTGTAAGAAATCCTGGCAAATCGTACAGTTTAGCGATTTTAGATAATATTCTTCTCTATGTAAGCGTAGCACTTATTTCAACATCCTTAACCTTATAAGAAAGCATGTCGGTTTCTGGAGTCCATTTTAGGCCTAGGACATTGAAGAAGGCTTCACTATTTTCAGTTAACTCCACTGGAGTCTATTTGTGTTAAATTGGTACTTGGTCCAATAGTTGGGATGCGTTGCTAATCCATTTTCAGAGCTCAAAACCTTCTCTAGAGAGTAAATACTTGAGTTAATTTTGTGCAGCCATCACTTCTTCATCAAGATTCCCCAATCCGGCCATGATGTCCTCATAAAATATTGATTTAGTTAGAATCTCAAACGCCTTAGGGTATGAGTGACGCTCGTCATTGACCAACTGTCAGCCACCAGAATCTGGTGATACATCTGAAATATATCACAAGTGAACACAAGCTTATGACACCTAAAGGACAGCAAGATATCACTGATATCATTCTGCAACTTCAGACCAGGCATGAGGACATCGTTTAGAGAGACGCCATTATTAGTTTTAGAACTACCATCAAATACGACTCGTATGTTGGATTTTGAGGGATTTGTGTGTGGAGGAGTTGCACCACGTCCAAAGCCTAACCTACAGTTCGTTAACAATATTTAGGCGGTTTCAGGGGAAGAAATCTATCCCCTCCACTTGACTCTTACCTTTAAAATAATAGCTCAACAGCTGATTTTGAGCAACATACATTAAATACATAAAAAGTGGTGGGGGAACTTCCCTCAAACCACCTAAATATTGTGAACGAAGTATAGTCCAGCTTACCGTCTAGCGGCTTTGGACGTGGTGCTTCTGCTAAGTTTTTAAGAGCATAAAGTGCGTGTGACGACCAATCCCATGACGTTCAAAGCTTGTAGAAAGACTATGTTTCTTGCAGTTACTGTACTTTTGGACATGATGAGATTTGGACTTTGTACAACAGTTGAATAGTTTATATTAAACAGCTCAGAAATTATATTTTGGATGTTGTGCAACACTCCCTATATATAGATGCTAAGATCACAAGTGACTTAGTAAAAATTGGAAACACACATGATGTGTGTTTATACATTAATAATACTTTTTCTGTGTAGGTTGTATGCCACGAGTCGTCACAACTGAATGTGTGTGTGTCGCCTGCTCCACCCCCACCGCTCACATTAGCCTCTGTCAATCTCCGTACAGACCTCAACCCTCACTCTCATCAGCCAGAGATCATCATGGCCTCTGTCACCACTCACCACAACTACTGTATTGACAAGCAAGTCAAAATGCCATTCCAGGAACACTTCTTTGGTATACACATTTCTTATTTGCTAGAGTTTTTTTGTAAATAAAATGGAATGCAAGCGTTGTAAATTACAATAATGTGACAATCGATCAGGAGAAGTGGATAAGAAGTACTGGGTGTCCTCGCAACAGGCATTCCGGGAACTATACGGGAATTTCATGATGGGGTGGCGTGAATCATATGGGAATTTTGTCAAAAGTGGGGTGTTTTTATTACCGGGTAAGTGTCAGATACTGGAAATAGCTAACCGTAAAAGTAGTAATAGACGATATTAATGAAAGGCAATATTGTGCAATGATAATATTGCATAATCATAATATTTTATGAGTCATTAACATTGGTTTAAAACCAGGGGATACTCAATCTCAGTAAACACCAACCAGACACTACACAACAATAAATATAGCTTATAATGAAACATAACATATAAATGTGTCTGTTATCTCTAACACTCACACTCTACGTGTTGCAAAACCATTGCAAAATGGAAGTTTGGGAATTAAATTAAAACAGAGTGAGGGTAATGAATGTAATGTGCTATTGGCCCGAGAGATGATTGCGTCTCTCTCCACCTACCTTGTGAGAGAATTTTTCTCTTTTGTCCCCAAACAAACCTAAAACCTCTTGCGCCCGTATTTATTAAAGCAGCCCTGAGTGAGTGTATAAAAATAATATCGACAAGCATTGATACTTCCTTGATTCAAAACAATAAAACATTTCATAAATCACGTAAAACGATTAATCTAACTTATACATAAACATTACAAGACTAATAAGAAAAATGGAGTTTTACATAAAGAGAAAATTAAATCGTCATGTCAGTAAGGGGCCGGCAGTTTGCTTATAGGAGTACGCAAATCAACCTTACACGAAGTGATTCGTAAAAGATTTAATCTAACTCCATATAAGATTTAACTATTGCATGAAATTAAGCCAAATTATAAATCCAACAGACTTGACTTTGCAGTTTCTATGATGGTAAGAATTTCGGAAGATGAAATTTTTTTAAACAGATAGTTTTTACAGATGAGGCAACATTCCACATTAATGGCACAGTTGTACAGGGTATTTTTGACAGGGCTATTGTTGTTTTCAAAATATATTCACTTGCTGAAGACGCTTCAAGATGGTATATAGCCTAATGAAGGAAATAAAATATTTCATTAATAAAATATGTTAAAGAAAATAACAGGAACTTAAGTTTTAGCATTGACTACACACCTGATAACAAACTACAACGATAGATTTCATTAGGCGATAATTAGTAATACAAGCCCCATACTGCCTCAGTTGTAACAAAAAAAATATATTATATATACAAGGAATTTATTGATATTCTGTAATTCCCCACTTTTTATGTTGATGGAAGGGGAAATCTAAGGGAATATTAGTAGACTTGTAGGAATGTACACGGGTATTCAAAAAAGGTGGAGACATAATTTCCGTAGGGATTCCTTTCACAAAATATCATAGCCACTTCCATTTATAATTAGAGTTGTGGCAAGCTAATCTTAGAAAGTATTGTGTCAGAATACCGATACCATTTATTTTAAATTTTAATGATTAAGGAAAGCTGGGTCCAGTTTCGATCCATCAAAAAGATTTGTTTATGGGAGATTTTTCTAAGTATCCAACAGTTGATAGTAGTTGTCAAAACAATTGTGAGAAACAGGACTGAGAGTTAAATAAATTCACTGTTACTACCCTGTTTCAAAATAAATTTACATAATCTAGAAATTTATTATAACTTAATACTAAATAAGTACAACTCAAATTAGTCAAATTGTTAATGCAATATCAAGGATTACATTTAAATTTAAAGCTTAATCTAAACCAATTATTCCGTCTTAAAAGTTCAGATTTGCATTTAAAATAGTTAGGTCTGCTGTACAGAAAATTTAAGGTCGGTACAGTATGCGGCTACCACTATTTTGTTTGTTTTCCTCTCAGAATTGTATTCAAACCATTATTTTAAATTGTAATACATTGAGATTACTATAATAATGGATAGTATCCTACATTCATGGTTTTCTAACAACAATTGCAGTATCACACATTATTAAAACCGTTTACTCCTAATAGGATTGTTTCAAGAAAGAAACACAGTTAAGATAAAGGCTTTACCTATGTTACTACTAAGATAAGTTAAGTAGTGATGGGTCGATACTACATGTCAAATGTCGGTTCCGCCGGTTCTTGGCAAAAGAACTGGAAGCGAGAACCGATAGTAAAATGTCGGTACCGATACCTCCGCTTCAGTACCGATAATGCCAAAAAATACCAATATCGTCACGATCGTGCAAGACGACGATGACGTTTCCGTGACCGCAGGAGATAATTTTGCCGCGATCACGGATGACGACGATGACGTAACCGCGATCCCGGGAGACAACGATGACGTCTACATGGCCGCAAGAGATGTTCATGATTTTGTCACGATCGTGGACGACGACGAAGACATTTCCGTGACCGCGGGAGTTCATGATGTTGTCTACACGGCCGCGGGAGATGTTCATGATTTAGTTGCGATCACGGGGACGATGATAACGTCTACACAATGACATTTCCATGACTGCGGGAGTCAATGATGATGTTTACACGGCCGCAGAAGATTATTTTGCCGCGATTGCGCTCGCAGTTGTCAACAATGACGTTACCGCGATCCTGGGAGACGACGATGACGTCTAGATGGCCGCTAGAGATGCTCATGATTTTGCCATGATCGTGGACGACGATGAAGACGTTATCGCGATCCTGGGAGACGACAATGACATCTAGATGGCCGCTAGAGATGCTTATTATTTTGCCACGATCTTGGACAACGATGAAGATGTCTCTGTGACCACGGGAGTTAATGATAGTGGCTACACGGCCGTGGGAAGTTCCTAATTTTGTCGCGATCGTGGGAGACGATGATGACGTCCATACGATGACGTTTCCGTGACTGCGGGAGTCAATGATGATGTTTACACGGCCAGGGAAGATGATTTTTCCGCGATCGTGATCACGGACAACGACGACGATGTTACTGCAATCCTGGGAGAAAATGTTGACGTCTACATGGCCGCAAGAGATGCTCATGATATTGCCACGATCGCAGACGACAATGAAGACGTTTCCATGCCCGCGGGAGTTCATGATGATGTCAACACGGCCACGGGAGATGTTCATGATTTTTCCGCGATGGAGGGAGACGATGATGACGTCTACACGACTGTGAGTGATGTTCATGATGTTGCCGCAATCATGGTAGATGGTGATCATGTCTACTCGGCCGCAAAAGATTTTCATGATCTTGCCGCCATCCGTAAACCAATGATTATGTCTACACGGCCGCGGAAGGTGTTCATGATCCTGCCGCGACCGTGAAAAACAGTGATGATGTTTCAGTAATTGAGAAAGATATTTCGTATTTTGCAATGATTTCAGAATACAACGATTATCACGATATTACTTTGAGTTTAACTGTACTGAAAATATCAGGCTGGCACACATCTATATAATACCTTAAGTATGGTAGTTATTTGATATAATAAGAAGGGTTTACACTTGGAGATTGGCTAGTTAGAATGTTACATTGCTGCTAGGGTTGGACGGGTCCCGGAATTTCGGAAAATTTTCGGGAAAAAAATATTCCCGATTATTGGGACGGGATTACATTTGATTCGGGAATTTTTCGGGACGGGATTTGATCCAATCGTCGGCGATTTTGCCGCTTCATGAATGACGATGATGCCCCTATCACGAGAGATTTTCACGATAGTTCCGCGAACGCAGGAGGCAAAGTGATTTCGACGATCGTGCCATGACCGTGAGTCATTTCGAAGATCGTGCCATGACCGCGAAGTCATACCGACAATCATGCCGTGACTGACGTGTTTGTGGAGTCATACCGACGATTGCGCCATTACTGCGAGTCATTTCGACCCCGAGTTACAAGCTTCTATACCTGTAAATTTTTACTTAATTTTTTGGTTTTTATTGATCAGCCACAAATGGTAAACATTGATTTTGTTTGTCTTTTTTGGTAACTCCAATACTCAAGACTTTCTTTTTATGCAGAGGAAAATATCCCGTCCCGAACTAAAAATTCACATTTTTTACTTGAAAAACACCCTAATATCCTACCTCAAAAATACTTAATAAAGACACAAAGACAGAGGCTGTTGTAGTATAACCAATACATTCAGAAAACTTTGTATAATTTATTTAAAAAATGGTATTGGTATTGAGAATTGTTTTTTAGGTATCGGTATCGAGAATTGATACATTTTGGTATCGATCGACACATCACTGATTTATCAAATATTTTTAACACTTTTGCTACATTATATATTATTTTGATTTGAATGTGTTTGGCTATTTAAGTGTTTTTTTTTTTAAATACGAATAAGTTTTATTTTCTTGATTCCTGAAGTTGATCCCTGTACCAACCTATACTAAAAATTACTAAAATTATACTTTACATAATACTGTAAAATTGAAACTGTATTGATATTTTGTTTTTAAAATATAAAAATGAAGTAGGTAGCCTATACCAAACAAGTAAAATAAGGTACCAATGGTACCGGAACCGATAACCGAGAATCAATTTTGGCCAGGAACCGGTACCGGTACCCACTTTGAAAAAGTGGTACCGACCCATCACTAAAGATAAGTCATAGCCATGATGAGGTTTTTAAAATTAGGTTAACAATTTTTAAGAATGAATATTATGTTTGAAACAACAATTTGATAAGTTAGTTTCACACAACTGGTAAATTATTTCGAACTAGGCCTAACACAATACCTGGGTGTTCCTTTTACCTTAGGCTCAATTCAATTTTCTTAGTATATTTTAAAGCTCTTCCAAAGAATCAAAAGACTCAGGCCTAGACCCAATTATTTATGAGGGTATATATAAATGTTATTGGAAAATTTGCTAAGATCTTATATTATCATATATACAAAGTTTTTAAATTAATCCAAACCAAAATGGCAGTTTCCACTACTTATGTGATCTAAAATCTATAAACATTCATCACATGAAGTGGTATGGTTAAATTTTATTTCTAAAAGTGTTAGCAGATGTATTTTATATTTTATACAACATATGTAAAGAATAAAGATTAAATGTTTCTATTTCATCCCAGTACAGATACAACAGCTAGTAAAATATAAAACTCAAAAAAGTTTTGTTAACAAAAAGTGATATTAAAAGCTGATACATAATGCTTCCTAGTCTCTAGTGGGTTTAGTAACCATTACAATTTGTTGAATTCATGGATGAAGGGAAACCCAAGAAATAATGAAAGAACAAAGAGAAAGAATAATGATGTTTTTAAGTTATCTTGATGAGTTATCAAATGTTTTATAGGTTTACAAAATAATTATTTTCAACTACATCAATTTATAACTATGCTTCTCTTCTGAAACAGCAAAACCGGGTGCGTAATAAACATCAATGAACTCAAATATCATGATTGCACAATGTTGTATTTTGGAAAAAAAATGAAAATCATGACATTACTGTAATTTTAATTTGAGTATTTCTTTTGGTCCCTGGCATTTCATATCAAATCAATGCTAAATATTGTAAAGAAAAATAAATAATCTTTACTTATATTTTTGGTAAGGAATAACAACTACTTTATTTCCTTACTTAATTGATCATTCCATCAAATAAAATCACCTCACACCTTTATGTAATACAATTCAGGTATTCCATACAGGTGTGAGTATTATAAAAAGTTGCCCCTGGTGGGGGTTTGAAAATGAAATTTAATTAATTTAATCAGACAACTGAGGACTAATCACAGAGCTGGCAGTGGAAGTAAGATGTTGTTTTGAGCCCTGGTAATTATATATCCCAGAAATCCGATTTATGGACCGTGAGAGGTCTGATATGTCCTCCTGTAAATACCTTCAATGATCTTAAACTCAACACTTCTTAAAATGTAAATAAATGTATACCAATACTCTGAATGCAAAATGTACTCTTTGTTGAAACTTTATTAAGAAATGGCAATGATTCTGTATTACTGAAATGTTAATACCAAACACTGATTAAACCAATACGTAATAATTTGTATAATAATATTCAATTTACTGATATTATATTTTACTGCAATTGTTCGGTTAAGCCGAATACCTTGACCAAGACAAACATAGGAGAATTAATAAAATTGTTGAAAGAATAAGCTCTGTATATTGTCACTTTAAATATTTATAAATGTCACAAATAATCAACAATAATTCAAATTCCTGCTCTACTAACACTTCGATTGAATAGGGGAGAGTATTGATTGTGGTTTTTTGACTTTCTTTACTGAGATACTGACAGCAGAGCCTCGGGAACCTAACCTAGGTTTGATTTATTTAATCTATTTTTAGGCTATTAGGCTTCCCAAATTAGTGTATTTATTAACAACTGGCCAGTTGATCTTATTATGCAAAGGGGCTATTCGTAGTTCTGTGTGCAGCACAATCGACTACTGAGTCGATTGTTTAATTTAGGTTAATAAAATGACTTTTTTATGGCGTTAATGGAAGCCTGTCCTTATAGCCTGTATTGAAACCTACCCTTCAACCGGGACAATGCTCTAATTCAAACTGAATTTGTACACAATCAAATACTCTCAGAGATCTCTTTATGTAGTTTAGAAGTGATTTAAAACCAAATATTTAATAAGAACAATTGTAACAGCATTGCGTGACAGACAGATGACAATGATATAATTGAAGTTAAATACAAAATTTACAATATGAAATTTAATTAATATAAAAATTTACCCAAATTATTAATCCAATAACACCTACAAATGTATCACAGTATATATTCAAAATAAGTAAATGGCGCTAACTTTAAGGCAATGTGACTGAATTACATACTAGGACATGAAACCTGCAAGAAACATGATCTAACAAATGTGAATGTGGACAGATTGGCTCATTCTAATGATATAAATACAAATTACAAAAAACACTTACTTACATACACAGAAGACAATTTTGACGACACATAAACACACAATTACGACACTGTACTTGGGGTTGGCTCCACGAAAATGGTCAAAATTTGACAAATTTTGCCTGTTGACGTCGAACTTAAAGACTCGATTTCTTTAATCAATTCGTAATTTAGCAAACGCTGTTTCACGGTTCAAATACCAATGCACTCCGGAAATCGAACAATTGATTTCGTTGACGAAATACACGTTACGACTACCAAAAGTGAGTTTTGCGAATTGAAAAGGAGAATTTAAAGATTTCCGATCATTACGGCTCAGAGCCTGGTCCCCAAGTGAAGTGACCGTTAGAAAGACGTCCACACAAGTCAACAAGTTGATATCACTCCGCGCTCACGTGATTGGCCGTTGTTGGGTCCTTGCCTTCGCGCGTTTTCTGTTTGATTTGAATTTTAATCGGTACAATATTTGTGGTTATGAGTAATTCAAATTATGTTTCGGATGATTCAAAATTCATACTCAGAAAAAGAAAATCTAAAGTCAAGGGCAAGGAATTCCCGAAAAACAACTTTGTATCATTGTCCTGCTATTACAATCTCCGGTCTCTCCAGCCCTCTACTAGTAGGGAAGTGGTACAAGTATAAATATAGCTTCAAGTTGCACCCTCCCCTTCCCCCTCGCCCTACTTCGAGGTCATTGCCCAACCCCTCCCACCCTCCTACTGTTTTGCCTTTCTAGTATTTCTATTCTGACGTTTTCTTTAAAAATTAAATCTATTGCTTGCGTAACAGTAAAGTAGTCGATTTTCATACTGTAAAACAGTTTTGTACAAATTTAACAGCCATTATAAAAATATCATTTTCATGATAAAATAGGTTTGTGATCTCATAACAATTACGCTAGTAATAAATCATGGAAGTCGTAAACGTATAAAAGTGATAAACTTGAATGAGCTAAACTACTGACTCACTGAGCTCTTGGAAGTACTTGACAACAATTATTGTCGTGATAAAATATTAATTGATTTGGGACTGCTAATGGGGTTTTTATTGCCCCATTACCCTTGTAATAAATTATGAAAATCGTAAACAAACATCTGATAAACCTTTTATGTGCTCCTAACCAACAAAAGTGAGCTGAAAGTAATTATTATAGGCTGTACTGAACCAAATTAGTACCAAGTAAAATACTGTACCGAACTGATGGTGGTAATTAACTCAGAAGCGTACTGTAGCAACTTTTTCGGTGCACCGCAGACCCCTAAATTAGTTAAATTGTTTATCCTAGAATCCCGACACAAAGCAGATTACTACTTTTACCAGATATATGTTGTACTTATATCAATCCTGTTTTAATAATATGAATGTTTACCTGTGGACTAAATTTGTTTCCCGACGCCTGATAGAATAATGCATCCAAAATCATGTTACAGCACTTTCCCGGCCATCAGGAACTGTTTTCCCCATTGACCTTAAAGACAAGTTGAAGAAGGACCCTCGTCTCAAAGTAGAGCTTTGTAATAATGAGAGAGCTCTCTTGTGTTACCTGTTGGCCAAACTTGGCACATTAGATCCCGACCTTGTGGTGGGCCATGGTCTGTTGTCAGGAGATTTGGATGTCTTAATTCATCGGCTAGCTCACCTTAAAATTCCAAACTGGTCGAGGATTGGACGATTGAGGCGGGCCAACATTCCACCTCCTGGAAAGGTAAGATGATTGGGACTATAATTTATGAGTTTGAATATTCAAAAAAACACTAACTGTGCACTAAAATATACTTCCACATTAAGGCTTTTATTAACTAGAAAGCACCAGCAGTTTTAGGGGAAGGACACAGTTGGTAATTAGTTCTTTTTCTTTTTTATTGTTTTGTATTGAACAAATTAGTTAAATATACCTACATGTGGACAAATAAAATATTGCAAATTTTATTAAATTAATTCATGTTTGCATTATGTTATCTTGCTCTGTATAAATACTATTTGGAAATAACTCCTGCTATGGCCATCGCCATCACTTATTTACTGTAATTCTAGTGATGGGCTGATTCCTGAATTGGTCGATTCCCATACATTCCGATTCTAAAACTTTGGTTTCGATCTTGATTCCGCACTCGATACCGATATCTGTTAAAAATTCATTTAATAACACATATAGATTATGTCTGCTTCTCGCTATCCCTATAAATAAAGGAGCACGTTATTTTTATTTAATCTTTATACAATAAGATAACTGCATTGCTATTGATTAAGGTTACATAGATTAGGTTAGCCTATAAGGAAAATAAGATACTTCAAGAAGTCATACATTTTAACATATTTTATTAAATTAAATGAAGAAAACAATCACCGGTTTAGGTAGGCCTAAAATGTTCACTGAGTTTTTTGTTTACATAAGCATTTGTACATCTAGGCCTACAATGAATGTTCCATATTACACTCAAAGTCATTCTCAATATTGTCATCATCAATATCACTTAAATTAAATTACTTAAAGAATCACATAAAAGTCATGGAGTTTGTCACATCACTGGAACGGAGATCATAACCCATTTTGAACAACTCACTACGCACGCACAGCAATCAAACAAAACCAAAAAACAAGGTAAACAATTAATTTGCCATTTGCTAACTTACGATAGCTGTTTCAGTTCAGTCAGAGAGAAACAACATATAATGATAAAAATATATCATCATCGCAAAATAAATGGCCGTCTCCAATAGTCACCATGAAGCCCTGAATTAGCTGAACAGTTAGTATAAGTAAGCTGGAGCATTGATCACGCATATATAAAAATAACAAACAAAACTTGGCGCCTACAAACTCGCCCGATTTTGGGCGGGCGACACTCGTGTGCATAAGGAAACCCGCCTAATATGGGGTGGGCGATACCATAGACTAACCAACACAAGTAGACTTCCCATCCCATTGTAAATTTTGAAGCTCGTTTTTCGTGTCTAGTTCATGTCTGGTGACACTGTTGGCTTCTATTATTTTTAGAGTTAATTTCATGTTTTGTGATTTACTGTTTGGTTATATAACTAGAAGATGAGCTATTGCTTATGATTATATAGTTTTATTTGTTTTAAACGCTAACTGATAATGAAACAAAATGTATTTCAAAAGAAAAATGTATTATAGTCACAAATACCAACACAACAATGACTGAAAACTGAAAGTTCTCCACTGATAACAACCTGTGCGGAACTTCTCAGCAAGCAGTGGCTGACTGACCAAACAATGCATGTTTATTTGGATACCTATGTTAAGTTCTAATATTCTCCAGCCCAATTATAACACTCTGTTACTAAATCCTGCTGTTGTGTATGGCATTAAGTTGCTCAATGACTACAACCATTTGCTGAATCATGCTGATTTTATTCATAAAAACTTTTTTATAATGCCAATAAACGATGCAAACCATCTGAATGATTTTGAAGGATCACACTGGAGTGTTTTATTTTTTGACAAGGAGACCAACAAATTCTTCCACTATGACTCTTTAATTAACCATAATGTTGACCATGCAAAAGCCGTTTTACAGAAAATAACAGCTTATCTCGAAGTGACAAAGCCGACACCAGAACTTCTAGCTATAGACTGTCAGAAGCAGATTAACAGTTACGACTGCGGGATTTATTCAATAATGGCGATAGAACTAGCGATACAACACATTAAAAAAGGACAAGGAATACCAACTAATTTACTGAGCATGCAATTTGATGAAGCTGAGCTGATTCGCAAGAGAGGTTGCATGGCTTACATGATAAATAATCATCTTTGAACAATAAAACCACACATAGTATACTGGAAAATGAAACATCACATATGAAAGGAGAGTTCATCTGAGTGCCATGTTAGTGAATCAAAAGACACCTGGACCACAGTTAAGAAAAAAACTGGTAACAAAGAACCGAATAAACAACCGAATAGCTACTGAATTAACAGTAATTAACAGGTTCAAAGCTTTGGAAGAGATAACAGATGAAAACCAAGACAGTTTTGAAGACATGAGAGAAGCTAATCAGTCTGTTTATGAGAAACGAAGCACTGGTACCTACAAGAAGAGGGAAAGGCGAAAAAGGATGGATCCGTCAGAAAGAGAGTTCAAAATGAGGCTCATGTCCCTACTACTGACATTACTTTCTGCTCTGACAGTCAGGGAAGCTCTGTTCCACTGATGATTTCCCAAATCAGTTCAAATAAACTCAACACATTCAGCTATGTCAGAGCCAACACAACTTTGAATCAAGTCATTTACTCATCCACAATTGAACCAAAGAACCCAATTGTATTTCTAGGTGGTAGCGATGACAGCTTAAACAATGATTTTACTGATGTATACAGTAACCTAGAAAAAAAAAAACTGTCTTTGGTCAGTAGCACCAGGCCTGTTTTTGTGTGCACAATCCCGAAAAGATATGACACTCCATTGCATAGTGCACAGAATACAAATATTAATATAGTAAATAATTACATTTAGGAATTGACAGTGGATAGTTCTAAATAATAATAATAATAATAAATAAAACTGGGATGGGTGGCGTCGTCCTGTAATCCAGCTGCTAGGAGGTTACGAATTGTGGATATTTATAGGCATGCACTGTAGATGCTATACTTCCTGGTGTGGATTAACGTCCGCACGAGTGAGTACTACAACTATCTGCAGTGCTACCCTTAAAATTAGACCCATTCGTATATACCAAGGCAAAATATGTGGTTTGGACTCCACTATAACTGTAGGTCCCTTAGTTGCCATTAGCTGTATGGGCTATTAATTAACAGCTGTGTCTAAGGAATAAGTCGGCCTTAGTCACTAACAAGACTACAAGACAAATACTCATCCTACACTCATCTCCATTAATACTTGGCTTGAAATACCTACTTTGTATGGTCGCCATTTCATTGAAAAGTATTAAAGTGAGGCTGAAAAACTTAAGTTTAATTTACCTAAGAATATAAAAAAAAGTCACTTCACGACTCATAGCCCTCATTTGAATGTTAAAGGTAAGCAAGAGTTGGCACGTATTATAATCTATGTTTTCAGTCAGTGGCATGCAAGTAAAAACAAGAGCTCAATCAAATGAATGTCAGAAAACTGTAATAAATCAAAATAACATAAAATAAATGAAATTTAAAATAAAAAACATAATTATCTTAGTAAAAAGCAAATACCCCAACCCCAATAAACATTTCAAGACCAGAAATCAACAGAGAGAATGAAGAACCAATCTCAGTCATCGATATGGACATGAAGGACGATAAGGAAATACCAACAGATGGAATATGTTGCTTTTGCACATACAATATCGGCAGACCTAGAAAGTCCAAGAAATATGACTGCTGGTGTGGCAGCTACATTTCGAAAAATTTTTGGAAGACCCACAAAGGAAAACTGTATTAACAATTTCTTAGCATATCAGAAAAGTGCTGAGGGTGCTGGTGTGTATAGCCTCATAACTAAGTTGGAGTACTTCAACAAGCCAACCCATTTCGATTACGACACAGCTTTCAACGAACTTACTAAAGATTTTCAGAAAAAGGGATTTAAAAAACTGGTATGCTCTGCAATGGGTTGCGTAAGGGATTTGATTTCACCTAGTCACTTTATTAAAAATCTAACTGACTTCCAAAAAAAGACTGGTGCATTGGTGGAGGTAGTGAGTTATCATCAGAACTCCAAAAGGTTACTGTGGAGTGGGATGCCTCATCATTTTTTTGTCAAACGGCTACGCAATATAATTGCTAGCCAACACTTGTAGGAGACATCTGTTTTTGGTCGATCGCTATCGTCAATGGAAGATTTCAACACAGTCTCTAGTGTCACCTCCCTTCTGAGTGAGCAACCCTTGTCAAGCCAGTCCCCGACCATCGAGACCAGCAGGCCTAGTGAGCAGCAGACCAGTCCACCACCTCATCTAGTACCTGGCCATTGCAGTTACGCAGAATGTGTCTCCCTCAACACTAGTGCAGTTGTCAGTGTCAGTGGAAAGCAGAGTAAAAGTGATTTGATTGAAGTGTGTAATTGAAAAATAAATAACAGCAATTTAATTTTACAGCTGATCAAAATGTAAACAATTATGTTCTTCATAAGGATAACATGGGGACTTTAACAGCCACTGGGGCAGAGCCCAAGGGACATTTTCAAAAATGTAAGGTCAGTTTGCAAATCTACGCGACACGTCTTTCCAATGAGACGTCAATGGATTAAATCGGTTAAGATATGGCGGAGGAGTTCAACCGACAAAGTTTCATGTAGTATATTAATTATATAGATTTGGGTCTGAGGTAAATTATGCTTTAGTTGTTTGGATTTTAAAAAGTTGTTTGTTGATAGGCGAGATTCCAGGTTGAGAGATATCCCATGTGTGGACGCTTGGTCTGTGATGTCAAGGTTTCAGCTAAAGAGTTGATCCGAGCCCGAAGTTACGACTTGGGAACTCTTTGCCAATCTGTAAGTAAAAAACACAGCAAAACACTAAATATCAAGATGCTTTAAATAGAGTTTTCAAGAGTTTTTCAAACCTTCTTTACAACAATACCTTTGACTATTATTACAACTAGACATTCCATCGCCATGTTAATTTTGTAGCCAGATATTTTTTCAAAATCGTAGTTGATGTGAGCCACCGACAGATTGCGCTGATCTAAATTACTAAATTCTGTTAAATACACAAACTTTTTTACGAAGTCAAACTTAGGGAATGACGTAGGGTGAGCTATAGTAACTGTTATGACCCATTAACCTAGTCAGCAAAAAAAAAAAAAAAAGGTATAAAATCGAATTTTAGACATTAGCGCATTCTGTGACTGGTCCACACAACTACGTTCTTTTTTAATAAAAATTTGGCTACAGCTGGTCCATATAGATGGGATGTCTACCTTCAGTATCCAATAGTCAATGATGATACCTACATAGGATTTATTGGCATTCTCCCCATCGAGTAGTAACCGTTACTATAGTCATCATCAATATTGGGTTGATAATTTACTCATAGAGTAATATATTGTTTGTTTGTAACAGGTACAAAGCTAAAACATATGTCTTTAAAAAGCTATGGTGTTTCATCTCTTTCTGTTTTTGAACAAGAATAGTTGATGAAGCAGATGAAGTTCGGGTGTTTTAAACCCTAAGATTACAACAATAATAAATTTGTGACTTTTCATTAAAGTAGAGAGTTCATTATTTGCAATAATTGTTTTGGGATGTTTGAATGATTAGTTTGTTTGAGTGATTTCCCAGATAATCTGTCATTGAAATGTGAAATTAGATATATTATACGAGGATCCTTTTTTAAGTAAGGGCCATTTTTAGGTAGGCTACAGCTCCTAGTTAACGTGCACGCCGCAATGATTCTCCACACCGCTTACTGGCATAATTTGTGAATAAATTAGTGATGGGCCAGTTGCTGATTTTATCGGTTCGGTTTCGGTTCGGTTTTTTTAAATTGATTTTTGGTTGTTCGTTCTTTGTTTTTGTTTAAATTGTTCTTTGATTTTGTTTAAATTACTTATTTAAATACAAATTTTCTCTACTCATGTAAAGGTACCGTGTAAAACCCTATTTCATTTGCTTTTAATAATATTTTACTTTAAAAAAAATGTGTAGCATATATTTTTGTCGTGGTAAAAAGTAGGCCTATTGATACAATTTTTTTGTCACACTATCTGTACATTCGTCTTGATATTACTCCAAATTTAGCTATATTTCAGCATCTGTGATATTTTTTCTTTTCCTTCAATCATCTAAAATAACATACCATTTCTTAACGCACATTTTTGGACGTGGTCGACTTGGTTTCGGCGTTGGTATGGCGCAAGTAGGTGCCTATTATGTAACATAAAATTATGTTAAAGGTTGAGGAAGTAAGGCTAAATTGTTTTCATTTTATGCTATGGAGGTTGTGATTTCTTTATTTAAGGCAGGAAAATCTGTTCTACAGTACAATACAGCAGTAAATGATTGGTCATTATTTAATTTTTCAGAATACAGAATTTTAACAGAAAATTTAAAAAACCACCAACTAAAAACCTCACTATACCAAGGCCTGGTCATTTTTGTTTTGTTTTTTCCTACGATGCTAGGCACGAGCCTGGGATTGTTTTTCACATTACTTCAGGCTAGACCTAGGGGTTGCGGCATTATCACTTAGATAAAATCCATTGGTGACTTGGCGGGGACTTGACTGAAGTCCCGCGCTCTAACCACTACGCCGGCTCGCTCCCCTAAGGCCTGGGTCATGAATGATACATTATTAATGGTAGGGGAAAAAGGAAACGGTGATATAAATAAGTAAACACAATCATATAGGTACCTTTTTATTTTTGATTACATAAATTATAGTTTTTGTAGGCTTACATTGTATTATACTTACATAACATGCTGTCTTAAGTTGATCTCAAACTCAATTGAACTTAAAAACTCTTCGATTGAATATTCCCTTGTAAATATTCGATATTCGGAATAGTAAAATATATTAGATTCGAACCTAAAAATCACTATTCGCACATCTCTAGAAAAAACAAAAAACATTGTTTATCCAATGGCAATTAAGTCAAATATTCTATGTATTTTAATTTTTGGTATACACTTTTATTATTCATAGTAAAGAACAAATTACCATTTGAAATAATAGTTGTTTAGCGCAGCAACATGCGCCGGGTAACTGCTAGTAGTCTTATAAATATAGGGTCGTTTAATGTTTAAATAATTTATTAGTAGGTTAAACTGTTTGAATCAACAAGCTAAACTACTGAACAATAATTAGAACCCATGAAATAAAGAAAAGTGTACCTACATTTTACCTACTCACTATTTATACAAAATATTAATTTACAGTCAACATTTACAATTTAAAACTTTTAGTCCAGTGAATAGAGGTTTTTTAACTTACAAACGGTCCGGTAGTTCTAAATATTTTGTATGTTGTCTAGGATGGTAAGTAGGTGTTTAAAATGCCAAATGCACAATTCTCCCCCCTCAGCGCCCGCCGCCATATTGGAAAAATAAAAAAAAACCGGTACTTTTTAGAGATTTTTGCCTATATCTCCGTTTTGGTGCGTTTTAGCAAAAAATGTGTAACGTCAATGTTGTAGACAGTTAAATTTCCTATAATATAAGTTTAGCAATTTGTTTCTAGGACTTATGTATTAAAAAAAAAAATTAATTTTTTTAACAAAAAAAATCTAATTTTTTGGATATTTTGCCAAATTTCTAACTTTAGATCGCTGTAATTCAGTAATGGTCTATTCTAGAAAAACAAGTATCACAGTCAAATTTATAGAAAATTTAATTACCTTAAAATTGCTTCTTTTTCTAAGTTTGGTTTGGGGCTGAAAAAACAAACAAAACAAATTAAAAGAATGGGTCTATTTTTTGCTTATGTAAATTAAAAATTCATAAATTTTTTTACAGTTTTAACTTTAATTTTCAGTTAATAAAAACCATACTTACTGTACTTACTACATGTAACAGTGCAATTCTCACGATGCAGGTATATATTCCCCTTACAAATATCCACTAAGTGAGAGGTTAAATTTCAAACAACCCACCAACACAGCAAGTAAATTTTAAAAGATTCAATTATTTAAACAAAATAAGATCAAAATAAGAAAAATAAGTAGGGGTCTGCGGTACAGAAAATTTAAGGTCGGTACGGTTCGGTACGGCACAATATTTTGTACCTCTGTTCTCGGTACAAAATCGGTACGGTATGCGGCTACCCGTATGTTTGCGGTTTTCTTCTCAGAACTGTATTCAAACCGTTATTTTTAATTTTAATACATTGACATTGCATTAATTTTATCCATTGAAAATGAATATTTTCCTACATTCATGGTTTAACTAACAACATTTACTGTACCTCACATTATTAAAACCTTTTACTCCTACGAGGATTGTGTCAAGAAAAATATCAACACAGTTAAGATAAAGGCTTTACCTATTTCCTATTTTACTTTAAAAAACTTTGAATAGACATGATAAAGTGGTTTTAAAATCAGGATAAGAATGTTTAGGAATAAACATGTTTGAAGCATTAATTTACAAGATAATTTCACACAACTGGTAAATTATTTCATTTCCAACCAACACAATGTCTAGTTTAATTATTTTTTAAACTTTTAAAAACATATAAAAGCATTCAATATGAAAACGGTGTAGTTGCCAGCTGTTCACATTCAACAGATGACAAATAAGTAATTAAGTAAAATGGCAAAGAGCGTCTTTTTTATCAGCTTGAAAACTAATTATAAGATGGATACATCTCTTGCAAAGTTTTTTTCTGAAACTAAAATTTGGATTACAACAGAGTAATATTATTGTATTTTCATTTACAAAGTTAACATCCACACATATCAATCATTAGTTTATCCTAGACTCAATCCAATTTTCTTAGTATATTTTAAAGCTCTTCCAAAGAGTCAAAAGACCCAGGCCTAGACCTAATTATTTAGGATGGCCTATATAAATTGAGGAGGTTACAATTAGGGTAGCAAAATCACTATCATAATTCTAGTTCATAAGATTTAGATTGCATAAAGTACCTTCAACACAATAAAAAAATATAGGAAACAAAAAAAATTCAAATCTTAACAGCCACATCCAACAATATAAGACAAGATACAGAACATGCAATGACATAATTTAAGACCGAGTAGGCTTACATAAGGAAAAAAATGCAAACAACAACTACTACGCTTGTGGTTTCATCAATAGAAAGATAAAATATCCATAACAAATATCTTAACTTATAAAATAGGATTGTAGATTATTTACAAGTTTTATGGCACAATGGCCAGCAGCAAATAGAATATTCACGAAAATACTGACTGAATTAGAGATAAAATTTACGGTCATCATAAAACTATTATTTTTATGATAAAATAGAATTGGGGAAAGTCGTAAAGGAATAAAAGTGATAAAACTCAACAGTTCTTGGAAGTACTTGAATACAATAATTATTGTCGTGATAAAATGTTAATGGATTTGGGACTGCTAATGGGTTTTTTATTGCATCATAACCTCGTAATAAATTATGAAGATCGTAAACAAACGTCTGATAACACTTTTATGTGCTCAGAACCAACTACTTTGACTACTGATAAGTAATTTATTATTATAATAGGCTGTACCGAACCAAATTTGTACCGCGTAAAATGCTGTACCGAACCGATGACGGTAATTAAGCTTGTACCGTACCGACTTTTTCGGTGCACCGCAGACCCCTAAAAATAAGTAATGTCAATGTTGTAAATCGTTAAATTTCCTATAATATATGTATAATAATTTGCTTCTAGGACTTATGGATACGAAAATATTTTTTACAATAACAAATCTAAATTTTTGACTGGAACACATCAGAATGAGTAGAGACGCTGCTCCCCCAAACCTGCTAAACACCATCTCATGCAGATGCACAACAGGCTGTATGGGAGCGTGTGGCTGTTGAAAGG